AGATGGAAAAATACATCAGAAGGGTTTAATAAAAGGAATCAAAACGTAACTGAATGAGTGTTGGGTGCTAAAAATGGATTTTTGTTGCTAAAGAAGACAAAGTTGCCAAATGTTTACATAGTTCAATTGATCGTATAGCCTCAACATTTTAAACAGACTTATTCCACCTGCAGGGGATTTGCTGTAATGTAACACCTTGGTTTGGTGAACACTCCTCACTGTGGAAAAGCACCGGTTTTCCTCTGAGGTATGTAAGTACCAAGTGAAAGTAAGGAAATGAAAACACCACACACCTGGGAGAGCTGTGCCTTCAGCACTCCTTCTGCCACCAGTCCACACCACTACATAGGAATGCACTTTTTTGACTAACATGAGAAACAGCTGAGAGAGCATCATTAAAAGTAACAGAAAACACATGTAATGTATTTTCACACCGTGGAAGCTGTGTGGAAGTTTGCAGTCTGCTCATCTCTTCCTGCTGAGACCATGGGAATAGCTGTGTTTTGGCAAGGATTCAAATGTCTTGGTACCTTCATGGACAAAAGAGTATTTCTCTATGTTACCCATTTTTATTACCAAAATGAGGTATCATTCAGGAAATATTGTAAATCCATGACCCTAGAATGGCTTTGGATTGGAAGGGACCTTTAAGATCATCTAGTTGCAAACCCCCTGCTGTGGGCAGGATTATTACCTAGTATGTATTGAAAAGTAATGGTGAGCAAAGACATTAGATCTCTCTGAAGCGGTTTTGTGGTGTCAGAGATTGTTTCTTTCTTTATCTTGCTCTTTCTCACATACAAATTTGTAACAACCAACATTAATGCTGTCATCATCCCCTAACACCCCCTGCCAAAAAAAAAAAAAAAAAAAAAAAAAAAAAAAGAGAGAAAGAAAGAAAGGTAGCAGAAGGTCTTGCACAGCTACATCCTGCTCTGAACAAATTCATGTTTGCTTCTCATCCCCTCTTTGTTGGCTTGGCTCAGTTAACTTATCTGACCTTGCGCTGAAACTGCAGAGGATGCAATTTCTTGTGTTACTGAGGTGTGAAGTAACAGTCTGGACCTGATGCATAGTAGCAGCTATCTGAAAGCACAGTCTGAGCCTTGCACAAGGTTGTAATTCTACAGCATGCTAAAGGTCACACTGATTATCTTTAATAGGAATTAGTTGTGTATAAATGTTGTATTCCAAATGAAGCTGGTAGGAAAGTCATTTTGTAATTAATTAATGAAGTACTATTAACTGCAAATAGTGTTTGTACTAAGAATCAGATATTGGAGCTACTACAGTTGCTTTTTCAGTGAGCATCTACATGCAAACTTTTATTCCTTATGTGTAGAAGAGTAGGAACTGATGGAGTGCTCATCCCAGGTGAGGAGCCAACCCAGGGAGTGCAGCATGAGATAATTTTTAACTTGTATCATTTTGAGCACAATGACAAAAACTGCCGTGGGAAAACAACTTGACTATGTTTCCCGTGGCTTACTAATGGAGTGTTCGTGCACAACATTAAGCTGCTGAATATGAATTTGTTGGGTACATTATCCTTTTTCCCTTTGTGCAAGTTTCAAAGATATAATTATGTTTGGCTTAATTGCTATTAGTCTCAGTTGAATTATCACTTTTTTCTGTGTTTCTATATTTACCATATGTAGAAATTAATATTTTAACTTTGACTCATACAGTATTTAATTTTGTATTAATTGGGAGTTATTTTAAGGTCTGAGGTATTGTTTTGCTCAGATTTAAAAAGTAAAAAGAGAGAGAGAGATGGACAGAGAGAGAGGGAGGAGCATTCTGTATGTTTATTATAGCTGCCCCAAATATACATACAGCCACTTGACATCAGTTACTTCAGATATCAGAAGCAACACAGTATTGTTAGCCCATCCCCAGTGCTGCACTAGCTTGATGAAACAAGGTAGCAGAACTAGCTAGTTTAGAACTAACTTCACCTTGTGCATCTCTACTGCACTTGCACAGGGCAGTAGATACGTCTGAGATATCTCAGAAATGCATACTGTTTCTCTTGTGGTTTTGTTGTTCTTGTTGGGTTTTGCTTTGTTTTTTTGTTTTTTTTTTTTGTTTATTTGTTTGTTTACTTATTTATGTATTTTCTGAACGTGGGCAATCAGGGTTGTTACAGTTAGGTACGTGGTTTCATGCACCACAGTCATAGAGAACTGAGTGCTTTCCAAGCAATGAAGAGAACCACATGCAGAGTAAGGAGATGTGTAAGATACCAACAAAAAAGCAGATGCCTAAAGCCTTACTCCTTTCCAGAACTCAGAAATATGAGTCTTGACTCTGCTTCAGACTCTGTGCATTTGGGATCTCAAGCACAGGAGCTTCAAAAAGACTGCCACGCAGTGCCCAACCAGCGCTGCTGTCTGCCCCTTCAAAACTTTCCTTGGAAACCGGAGGCTTTGGAAATAAATGTCTCTTCAGCTTCACGAAATTAATACCTACATCTTTTAAAATATGTCCCCAGATCAGAAACCTAGACACTCTATAAAACTGAAATTCTACATAACACATTGCAGAGAAGAGACTGCGTGTTGAGGAGGCCAGAAAAGCAATGAGAGGGCTCCGCTCTGTAATTCAAATGCAAAAGCCTTAATTTAGGAAAGGAAAAAGAGAAACATCACTTCACTGATTCTATTCAGAATTACACAGTCCTTTCCTTTCTTGTTCAATGAATCTCTCTCCTGGCCCTTACTCTGCATTCTGTGTTTGAGCAGAGAAGCTGAATAGTGTAATTCATGAGAGGATGTGGTCTCTCCATGTCACTCAGCTTTCAAACATAAGCTTATTCCTCAGGGGTAATCAGTTGTTTCCCGGTGGTTGCACCTCAAAGTAGACTGCTTATTTTCTGGTCTTGTCCTCAGACACCCTCTGAAGAGATGATCAGCTCTCCCCATTTGCTCTCTCTCAGCACATTCAGAGGGACAGCCTGAGTCATGGTACATGTGCCATCAGCCACAGGAAACTTCTTGTGAGATGGTGCTGCCACATTGATGCCATATGCCTTTTTATTTGACGGCACCTGCTTACACAGCATGGGTCAGGAAAGAGATTGCCTTCCCAGCAGAATGGAAAGCCATAGAGAGTTCATGGGCACAAGTCCCTGCCAGCAGGTGATGTTCTATTTGCAGTGGGTTCATGGTACATCTAGTGAGAACATTTAACAGTTCATATTGTCAGAGTTGTTATAACATCCAGATAACATGCTGTTTTCAGTCTCCTGTGTAGGCACTGCCACTGCAAATTCAAAAGCTGAGGAAATAAAATTCTGTGATTAAAAGCTAGAGGTAAGCAGAAACATACTTCTGTACTTTTCCAATTATTTAAAACATCTTATCCCTGTGTTTGTTTTGATTAGGATTTTCTTAGATTGTTGATATCTTCTTAGGATCACAAAATGAGAGAGTTCACTTTTATGACTTTATAAGTAAAAACAGCTGTTCTTGCTGGAGGGCAGAGTATTTTTGACTGGCATGATGCACAATTTAAAGAAAGTACTCCTGACCTTTGGAAAAATGTGAGACCAAGCTTGTACTCACTTTGTAAATACTGCAAGTGTTTGAGAGCAAAGACTGCTGAATGCTGAATTATCACAGGCATGGTCCGATACTCCCTTTCCTTGACTCTTCTGTGGGATCACAGTTTTTGGCAGGGCAGCTTAACTCTGAAACTGCTGCAGTAGATTAATCAAAATCCAGCCACATCATGATGTTTGTATGTGTTTGTACATGTATATGTTACATATATATATAAACATAACCTATATATAAATGTATCCATATTATTGTACTCAGTGTGAGAATAAATACCAGGGAGGAATGGTTCTTCCAAATTAAAACCTTTTATATAGCATTTCAAATTGTTTAGTCATATAATGTCCTAACACCACTGGAGATCATTTGACATGACAGAACCTGGTGGTAGAATCAAGCCCTAATTAAAGTGACACATAATTATGGTTAATTAAGCTATAGAACTAAACATATTCTTCACTGTTAGAAAATATACAAGCAAAAAAGAAAAAAAGGCTATATGCAGTTAGGCAGCAAGGCCCCAATCAAAGCCATTGTGCTAAGTCCAGAATGTTCATAAGGTCGCAGCTGTTAGGTTCCAACTCTGCAAACTCACCAGCTCCTCACTGCACTTCCAGCAGAACACTGCTGTCAGACGCAGAGCGTGTTGCAGTCATGATTTGCAAAGTGATCCTCAGGGCGCAATGAGTTCATTGTTTTCATCACCAGGATTTAGGAGGGGTTTTACTTTAGTACAAATAGCCCTGTCCCAAGAGAATTCTCACAAAATAAACACTGTATTTCCAGATTAATGAGAGTGAATAAAATGTGAAGTGTTCAACAAGTAAGCACAATTAATTTTTCATATTCTTCCTCACAAAGACTGCTTACTTCATCGCTGAGGGTCCTGAGACCCTCACTCAAAATGTGCAAGGAGGTGGGACCTTATGTTAACGATTTTGGGGGGATATTGAATATTCATGTACTGATCAGGGAAACTTTTGCATACGTATCACAGGTAACGTATACAAGCTGAAGCTCTTTTGTTCCAGATAAGCGCGGTTAGGGTGTAGATACCCCCTCACACATCTGACCTCGTAAATGCAGAATGCTTTTATTAAAGCGTTTATTCCCAAATTTCGGATGACAGCATCAACTTATTTCTTGTTGAAATAAGTGTTTGTGTTTGTTTACTTGCTCAGTTTGTTTTTCCCGAACGCTCCGTACGACCACTTAAACCAAAACAGCTGACCGACGGGCACGGCAATCGCCCTCAGCCGCCCGCCACCGCCCGCCGCACAAGATGGCAGCCGCACACCGCCGCTACCGCACTGCGTTTCCCGTGGTGCAGCGCAGCCCGGCACCCCGCGCTGTGCGTTGCGCCGTCGCTGGGCGGTGCCTGAGCGCGTCGCGTTCGTTGCGTATCACGTTCCGCCGGAAGTGACGGCGTTGGCGGCGGTACAGCGGCGGCGGGCGGTAGGTGCGGAGCGGGGGTTGCGGCTGCTTGGCGAGGTGTAGGTGAGGCGGCGGGAGTTGTCCCTCCGTTCTCTGCCCTTTCTCTCCCCTGCGAGGAGGCGGAGCCGCTTCCCGAGCCCCGCGGGTCCGGCTTTCGCGGCCTGTGTGCCGGGCCGCGGCTCGGAGGGGGAGCGGGCGGAAGGGGCGGGAGCCGCGCGGCTGGGCCTGCGGCACGGCAATGTAACGTTTGTGTTGTACAATATAAAATCCTTGCTGTCGTCTCTGTATTGTAGATGAAACGTTCTGGGTGAACTGGTCACCGCTTTGGATTTTCTCGTTGCTGCACGTTCAGAGTTTTGTATAAATAGCAGAAGTGGAGATGAAGAGCAGGGTGACACAAATAAACGTAAGTGCCCTGAAGCTTATGTTGTGTATTATTCTCATTCTCTTCTTGCTGGTGGCTAGGTTTCTGTTGATGTTGTATTAAATAGAACGCTTGTTGTAAAGCAGACAGTGGTGGTGGCAGCCACTGGCAACAGAGGTGTTACTGTTAAGGCAGTCAGTTATAGCGGCTGGTGCATGCTGTCCTTGCAATGGAAGTTCTGAACATTATTGGCATGTGGTAGTGAAACAAAAGTGGCTGAATGGTGGCTCAGCTGAGAACATAAGGGCTGGGAAATAGGGAAAAAGGGTGCTGAAACTGTAATGATGATGTTAAGAAGAAAAGGAAGTATAAGTTACTGTGTCAGCTGCGTTTCTTAGCGTGGAAGTTGAACTTCAGCTTTAAAGGTTGTACAGTACAGTTCTGAGTGGCAGGGAGGGTGGAAGGGCTGATTTCTTGGCAAGTAATGAGAAAAAATGAGGTGTAGAAATACCACATTTGTTTTCACTAGAATTTTACTGAATTTGAGTGACATCTTTATCACTAGCTTTCTGGGGGGGTTTGTGTTCAACCCTGCCTGGGCTGTTTTGCTCCTAGTTACATTCCAGCCTTTCTCGCCAAAGTAGTTTTTGACAGGGATGCTCAAATATCCTTTGGTATTGAGCATAGGTATGTCCTCATGTTTTCCTGACCAAATGATTATAGTAGTGCTCTCTCACCTGTTGAAATGAGTAACTTAGCCAGGTAGGTTCTTTGGGTGCTTTGGGAATGGGCTGGGAGGGATACTGTAACCTATGATAGGAAGCCTGGTCAGGAAAAGCTGAGGGAAATAAGTTATTCAGCAAAATAGTTGCTTTTGCAAGGATACCTGAGAACTCCCAGAGACAGACACATCAGTAACATTGTTTTACTCCTATGAACCCTTGTCTGTTAGTCTACTTGGGCCAAGGCAAATGCTGTAGAGCTCATGAGAACTCATTATCCCCCCAAAAAACCACCTTTTTCATGTTGTTACTATGCGTATTAAATTTATACATGTCAAATTTATGAAGCTAGGAATGATTCAGTGAGAAAACATACAATGGTTAGAAAAAAATGAGAGTTTTTTTAATTAAAAAGTAAAAAAGAATCTTTAGAAGAGGGAAGATATACTTGCCGTTTGCTAAACAAAAGGACTGGTAGATGTCTGTAAACAGTGTTGCACATGATACAACAAAGTATAAAAGGATGTGTGGATAAAGAAAACAGTAAAGAAACAAAGACTGAAGGTTGATTTTGCCTAGTCTCTGACAGTAATCCATAGCAAATGCCCTGTAGAAGCAGGGTAAACCGTGAAAATACTCAATCTCATTCAGTTTGTAATTTCTTTTAGTAACCTGTATGATTTTTCATCTGCGTTCAGCCTCTTGAAATCATGATAAAAACTTAGCATCTACAGTATCCTGTAGCAGCTGCTTAAGTATGTGTTATTTAGAAGCAGCTCTCCTTGTGATAAGTTGGACTGCTATTAGCTTTATTTGATGAACATTGCTTCTTATAAATATGTAGTGGGCTAAAGCCATCATATGCCTTGATGTCTATATGTATGTGTGTGTGTGTTCACACTAGTTGTTTTATGTCTTTGAAGTTGAATTTTTTTTCTCTTTTATTTAAGCATGGGTCCAGTCATGAAAAGAAAGAAAAATACAGTCCACGGCACAGAAGTTTGACTCCAGAGGACAGGTAGAAATGATTGATTTATGTTCCCTGTGATTATGTGTGTGTGTGTGTGTGTGTATATATATGTATGTATGTATGTACACACCTTCTAGGGAGAGAAAAATTGAAACAAACAACAAAGGTGAAAACTGAATATAGTATGATTTTATACGCTACCATAATAGCTGTGAAAAATAATTGCAGGTTTAATAAAATACTTGCGTGTATAAAAAGCAGTAGTTAAATAGATTTGTAATTAAGACTAAATACTTTTAGTCTAAAATTCTCAGTTAAAATCTCAGGGATCTTGAAAATGGAAATTAGATAACACCTTCTTTTGTGGAACAGTACTGATGTTTATAGCAAGATTATGGAGGCCAGCAACAGGTGTACAAGTATTGTTTGAAGCACAGTCTACTGATGCAGGAGATGAAGCACTAGCAGTTTACCTATATTTCATATTTGAATTGGAATAAAGCATCTTGTACCAAAGGCAATCATTTTTAGTGGCGTCTGTTTCATGCACCACCTCAAAAGTAGCTGAAGTGAATACGTGAGTTTCAAGAAATGCGGTGTGGCACTTGCCTTTGGTGATTGATGTTACTGACATTTAGCGTTTATCCCACATGGTAGGAGGTGCTTCCTTTTAAGGTGATTCTGTTGATTTCTTTATTTTCATTTTTTCTTTTTTTGCTGTCTGGCAACAATTTATAAAGGGAACATCTTGTTTTTGAATGATGCACATACTAAGAGTGGAGTGCAGAATTGGAATTGTTGGTGTGTATGTAACAGATTGCATTGCAGGTAGTTATTAATAGCATAGTTTCTCTAATCCTTTTACTGAGAATTTTGTGTCTTGGTTTGTGAATAGGGATGTAGAGCATGACAGGTCTCCATCTCCCAGAAGAAGAAGATATTCTGATGACAGCAGATATGATCAAGAATATTCAAGAAGGGAGTATTATGATGACAGATCTTCAGAAAGGTGAATACTAAGACCTGTTTTTCAATTCCTATGAAGGTACTCACTTTAAACAACAAAAGAGGAAAACAGCTTCTTTTTTTCTTTTTTCTTTTTTTTTTTTTTTTTTGTCTTTTTAGAAGGCTGGAGAGAGGGAGAGACAGATACTATGAAAAGTGGGAAGAAAGAGATTATGATCGAAGGAGGAAGAGAAGACTCTCTTCCCCTGATCATAGGAGTCCAGAGAGGTCAACAGTTCAGGGCTCAAATACTCATGAAGAAGCCACTTCAAAGAAGAAGAAAGAAGAAGTGGATCCAATCCTTACTCGCACAGGTGGTGCATATATTCCACCTGCCAAGCTCAGGATGATGCAAGAACAAATTACTGATAAAAACAGGTGAGTTGAAGGTAACATTAGAATTCGTCCTGAAAAACAAAACTATGAAGGGTTTTAAGGAACGTTGTTATAAGTGGGACACTTCTTGAGATACCTTTCTGATCAGAAAAAAAATGAGAGCCATTTTTCTTAAGTCATTTTCTCTTCCCAACCTGTCTGAGGAAAACAAAGTGCTAGCCAAACAGACAACAACAAAAATAACAAATCAGACTATGACCCTCTCCACTTCTGCTCTTAATGGAAAAGTAGGATACAGAGCATAAACAGGCTTTTTTTTCCTAATGCCATTAAAAGACAAACATTCTGGGTTATACCACATCTGTGGGAATTACATTTTGGCATGACATGTTGGTTTGGTGGGTTTGTAGTCATTTAATGTATAATTGTGAGCTAGTCATTACATCTGTGCTGTGAATGTTTTCTTAGTTTTTTTATTTAATATATTGCATCTTCACATTTTTGTATATATAACAGCGCTGCCACAAATTTATGCTTTACTAATCTGTGATGCCTTTGAATAGCTTGGCATATCAGAGGATGAGTTGGGAAGCCTTGAAGAAGTCCATCAACGGTCTCGTCAATAAAGTAAACGTTTCTAATATAGAAAATATTATTCATGAGCTGCTTCAGGAGAATATTGTTCGAGGAAGGTAAATGTTGAAATATTTAAGTCAACTTTTTTTTTTTTCTGTAAATATGTATATTGTACATTCTTGCATCACTGTATGTTTAGTGTATGGTGACTAATCTGACTTTAAAAGCTTATATTTTCCTATGGCTATATTTTCCTATGCAGAGGACTACCCTGCTTGAGGAAAGGGGCTGGGAGCAGAGGGGTAGAGGAAGGAGTACGTGCTTGGAAGAATAAGACAGTAGAGCAGATAGCATGTTTCCTTTTTATTTTAGCTTATCTATTGATTTTACTTGAATGACTTGCAATTTACATGTGCCTGTCTATTTCTTTCTGTGTTCCTGGACTTTATCTGAAGTAAATATTTTTAGCCAAAACACTTTTCTACAATTGTCTGACTGATCTGTTTACCACCTTCATCTTTCCCATTGTAATGTGGAGAAAAGGCTATTTAGCTATTAGGTATTTCTATGATTCTAGCAGTTATAAATCATGGTGATTGTACAAGTAAATATGATCATAACCAGACTAATTTAATTTGCATTTGTAGCTAATAGTTTTAAAACCAAGTATTCTGTTCCTTTATACACGTATCAGATGAGTTCTATTCCGTTTATTAACCCTATAGTAAGTAGTACTTTAAAGAGTCACATTTTGAGGGCTTTTTTTTTTTTCCTCCTGGGCTTTGCAGTGAACAACTGTTAGAAAATGACCACATAGCACCTTTCTAACTATTCAAACAATGCAGTCCTATTTTGTGATACGTAATGGGAGAAAACGTTGTGTTTTATTATAAGAAAAATTTTATTCTTAAACTTGTGTATATTTGCAGGGGATTGCTGTCTAGATCCATTTTGCAAGCTCAGGGTGCCTCTCCAATTTTTACCCATGTTTATGCGGCTCTTGTGGCAATTATTAATTCAAAGTTTCCAAATATTGGTGAATTGATTCTCAAGAGGTTGATACTAAATTTTCGCAAAGGATATCGCAGAAATGATAAGGTATGTAAAAAATGTGAAGAGACAAAATGCTAAAACTTGTAACTGCTGAGTAATTTTGTACTGAGTGTATTCAAGTTAGGTATTTCAAGGGTGCACAGCCATGACCTGTGGTTTGTATTGTATCATTATGCTTCACCTACCATGTGTACGTTAAATAAAGTAGCACTCGTGTATTATGAAAGCTTGGCTACTGATTTCAGCTTGGAATTGTGATGCTATTTTTATATTTTACTTGGACGTATGCAGTTCTAATGGTAGAATAATTGCCAGTATACCAAAATAGTTATTTTCATGTCTTAATTTGACTGAGAAGCACAAATTGATAGTATAGAATGTCTCAGTTACAAGTGTTTCTTTCATGTAAGATGTTACAGTTTCTTTCATGTAAGATGTTACAGTTTCCAGTCGTTTATTTCTTTTGCAGCAACTCTGTCTGACGTCTTCAAAGTTCGTTGCGCATTTGATGAATCAGAATGTGGTATGTTACTTTGTTTTCACTTGCTCATATTTTATATGGCTTTCTATTTATTTTAGCTTCAAGATAGTGGTAGCTCAAGTGAATTTACTTCTCCTTTTCCATAAATTATGGGAAAACTGAGTTCAGATTTCCTGTCAGTACTTGCTGTAAGTTGTTGGGACTTTCTAGAAAAGAGATTTTGTCTGATAATATGGCTGTGATGTTCTCATCTCTAGCCATTGCATTTAATGTCTGAGAGCTTCCCAAAACTTTACATATATGTTTGGGATACTGTTCTGATAGCTTGTGATAGAAAGCAAATGAATTCCTGCAGATACTAAATGGAATTTTCTTGCAGCACTGTAATCTCATACAAAGATGATTAAGTCTGTAGACAGGATCAGAATCAATTGAATCAAATTTGTATATTTCCTTGTTTTACCATCTTCTGTGTTAGAGGTACCAGGGTTTCTATCCCTGGTGTATAAGATACTTCAGTTTGAAACGTTACTTCTTGCAGTTATTTTGAAAGACTATGCAATGCTAAAACTAGTTTTAGTAAGCTAAGTATTATTTTATTTGTTTGTATAAATGCATTCTGTTTTTTTCAGTAATGGTAAAATGTTCATTAGAATGTATTCATATTTCAAAAGTATAGTCATGTTCACTGTGAAGATAGTGTAAATATAAATAGCTAAATTGTGTATGAAATGTTGACAACCTCTTAATTAGTTTTGTCCAGTGTTGCCTTCTTTATGTGATTAAACAAATGGTGTGACATCCTCAAAGAAATATTGTAAATTCTGGTTCTTTACTGATATTCTTTCTAAAGGCTCATGAGGTTTTATGTTTGGAAATGCTCACCTTGCTTCTTGAAAGGCCTACTGATGACAGTATTGAAGTAGCAATTGGATTTCTTAAGGAGAGTGGGCTCAAGCTAACAGAAGTTTCTCCTAGAGGTATTAATGGTAAGTATAATGAGCCAATATATTAGCCTTTTCTTGTTTTGTGTTATGTTCAGTCCTTGTCCATATTAAATATTTCGTTTTTTCCAAAGCAATCTTTGACCGTCTTCGACACATTCTCCACGAGTCTAAAATTGACATGCGTGTTCAGTACATGATAGAAGTTATGTTTGCTGTACGGAAGGATGGCTTCAAGGATCATCCAATCATTCCAGAGGGATTAGATCTAGTGGAAGAGGAAGATCAGTTTACTCATATGTTGCCTTTAGAAGATGAATACAACCCAGAGGATGTTCTTAGTAAGTTAGAAATATAAATATTTTCCATGATTATATTTCACACAAAAACAAACTAAAGATTTTATATACAGCCTTATTTTCATTTTGTGTTTTAAAGACTCATTTTTATTTTAAAGATGTTTTCAAGATGGATCCCAACTTTATGGAAAATGAAGAGAAATACAAAGCGCTCAAGAAAGGTAGGTGTACATGTGTACGTGTACAGGTGTACATGTTTTATACATAATAGATGTATTCTATTAGATGTTATATGTGCATGCTATATGTAAAATATGTGTTTATGTACTTTGTGTATTTTATATGCTATTTAGTTACCCAACTATCGTTACAAGTCTTGTTTAACTGCAGGTGGCATTTGTTTTTCAGATAACTGCATTTCAATTCATCATACTCCTTTCTGACATACTCCCATCCCTTTCCTCAGTATTGTCCCTACAGCTATGTTTTTAGCCAGTTGTGGCATACCTTCTTTGCCTGAGACATCCTTTCAATCTCAGATGTTAGATCAATTGTTGTTTTGGTAACTGAATTATTACGTTCTGTACACCTTTAATCTGCTCTTTCAGAAATCCTTGATGAAGGTGACAGTGAGTCTGAACCAGATCAGGAGGCTGGAAGTAGTGATGAAGAGGAAGATGAAGATGAAGAAGAGGATGAAGATGGTAAGTGTGTGACTGGCAACTTAGTGGTGATAGTTTTGGAGTTTTGTTTGTTTTTTGTTTGATTGTTGGAATTGTTTTGAGTGCACGTTTTTTGTTTTTCTTTTTGTAGGTTAAACTGTAAAGGAAAGCTTGACTTTTGTTGCACATTTTATAAAACTAAGAACACTGCAATGTTAAGGGAGGCTTTAATCTGCAATTATTCCCAGATCTAAGTGTTTAATACTAGCACATAGCATAAGAGTGAAAATTTAAAAGGAGGCTTTCTGTATCTCTGCTGTATCTCTAAATATTTACCTGTTAGTCATAGATAAGGCGAACATTGATTTTAAATTCTTTACTTTGATAGAAATAAATATACAAACACAATACTGCCTAAATCTTAAGTATTGATACAAAAGGTATTTTTACACAGATGTGTTGCAGACCTAATAAAAATAGATATGTTCTAAGAGATACATAGATATTATAAAAAATATGACTTAATGTTTTGTTATTTCCAAATTGTGTTTCTTTCATAGGCCAGAAAGTTACTGTCCATGACAAAACAGAGATCAACCTGGTTTCCTTCCGTCGTACCATTTATCTTGCTATTCAGTCAAGGTAAACATGATATAATTTATACGCAATTGCATTTCTTTTCATGTGACCGAATTTGAATTCTCTTCTTTTTTTAAATCCTGCTTTAGCATCGTTTTTTTTAAAAATACCATATGGAACTTGATTTATAAGGTAGAAAATTAACTATTATTTTGACAGTGGGTTCTTAAATCATCATTTCAAACAAAAATCTTTGTTCTACAATACAATAATACAAGTTAATGCACTAGGACTTTTCTGTGAGTATTGCTGTAATCAAAATTTTCAAGTGAACAAAAGTCAGTGATTTTCAGGTGTTTTAGTACAGCTGTATATTGCTCAGATAAGAAGAATTTTTTTTTTTCTTATTGCAGCTTAGACTTTGAAGAATGTGCTCACAAATTGCTGAAGATGGATTTTCCTGAAAGTCAAACAGTAAGCTTATTTTTTGTTGTTGCTATTAATGTGAAGTAGTTGTGTAGTATTGAGAATCCTTACTTGTCCTGGGACCTAACTTGTGTGGCAAGTAAATGAATGACAGTGTCTCCTTATAGCTGTTTTTCCTCAATATGTCTTTAAACCTTTAGGGCACTTAGGCTGACATATTTCTTAACACGTTTCTTTTGTGTAATTGCTCCTTGCTGACAAGCAGTTTAAAATATTTGTTTAAAGCCTGAAAAGATTTGTTGGTTGGACTGTTGGAAAATGGTTATCCTATAACAAAAGTACCATAACTTGGAAGACATTTTCAGAACTCTGACTCTGAAAGAGAATGGAGTTGGAGGTATTTTCAGGCAGCTGTGGAGTTTGTCAGTAGGACTTGAAATACAGATTGGTATTAAAAGAATGAATCATGTCATTGCTTTCAGTTTTTGGTGTTGTGTTGGTTTTTTTTCCTAGTAATATTGTGTATTGATTTAAAGCAATCTGTGTATGGATGCTTAGTTGCCGTCTTGGAGATCATCAGATGTGTTCTCAAGTAAGAGAAATTGTCCTTTAGCCAGCAAACAATTTACATAAAAGTAATTTAAAAGTTTCACGTGACTGCTATGTTTTTGTCTTATTTGATTCTTTAATTTTGTGCATGAAATGATTCAACGCTGCCTAAATGCAATACAAAGCATTGATACGATTCTGGGTTCCAGTGAAGCCATAACCTGAAGAATTCCTGAGTAGTTGGGGAAAAAATGCTGTGTTGCAGAAAATCAATTCAGCTATAAAGAGTAGAGAACAGTCAGGAATGCATAAGCTATGTTATACAGTGTAGATAGAACTTGAGCATCATTGCTTTAGTAATTGGCTTGATGACTGATTCTCAACTGCTGGTGTTTAATCCCATTGCTGTGTCTCAGCTATCATCTGTTCTATGGTCAAGAACTGCAAGGAGAAAATATATATTTAAACGAAAAACCTGCATTAATCACAATCTGAAGTGTGGAAAGAAATAGACTTTTCTACCACTTCAGTTCAGAAAACTAGGTATTTTGTGAGGTTTGACTCAGTATTGGGCATTAGGTTATTTTCTTCTGCTTTTGTGGGTTGCCTTAATCGCAAATGAAAATAAGCAGATAAACAGAGATGAATTTAATGTGTTATTTCTCTCATACTTATGTGGTCCTTTTACCAAGTGTTTATCTTTTTTTATTACATAACCCTGTGATGTGCTTTGTAGAAATATAAAAGTGTGAGCTTTGAGAAATTTTATATTTCCACTATCAATCACAATTTAAAAAAATGTAAGAATATTACTATATGCAAAAGAAATGGGTAAATACGTGTTTTTCTGCTGCATTGCAAAAGCAGAAGTTATTATTCATTCTTAATTTTGTAGGAAAGCTCTGAAAGGAACTTCCAGATCTAGTTTTGAGACTTACAAAATGATGGATAAATTAAATTGTCTAATAGTCTGTATATGGAACTACTAGTAACCAAACAAAATACAATGTTGACTACAGTATGGCAGCTTTTTACCATTAAGACTTAATCTCTGGAATGTTTCTACTGAGTAATGTATTTTTAAAGAACAATTGATGGAGGGGTACAGAACATGATATCCTGTCAGCTGTCTGGTTATGTCTCTGGACAGCGCTACTTTGTTTTCCTAATGTTTCATTCCAGTATATTTTTTCCTGTCGTTACTTTAGTGTTCAAATTTCTCTAATCGTCACAGATTTTAGTATCAACTTTTAACACTCTCTGAGAAGAATTACATGCAGATTAATACCAATTTTTGTATTTGAATATTAAAATTTGTGGTGCATAGATGATTGGCTGCAGTTAGCATAAGCATCCTATTTAAAAAAAAAAAAGAATGTTATGTGATCCATATAACTAGGGTTCTGTTCTAATTACTATTAATTAGATGCCTTTAGGTTAAATGCTGAAGAGTTCTTGTTGGCGTTTTGTGTGTATGTACGCATTGTTTTATGAAAAGAGATAAACTGCTATCAACTGTATCAAACTGGTATCATTCATACTAGTTGCAAAAATTCCTGCAGTTCATGGCTGAGTACAACTGATGTAAATCTGCATCTTTTCATAAGATGCCACCTCCTCTTTGTGCTGTTTTCATTCCCTAATAATAATCATTACTTTTTATTTTACCTTAATAAAAAATATGAGAGCTTTGACTCGTATGGGCTTACAGCTCCTAAGCAGTGTTTTATAGTGGAGAAGGAAAATACAGTTTCCTGATCAGTGTGAGAGTGGAAAGGACAATCAGTTGTAGATACTGAAGTTATAAAAGGATTTATGCACCTCAGATCTGTCCATGTGCTAAATGGATGGCAGGGCATTTCTGTCTGATTTGACCCTCTATTTCTAAACAAAAATTCTCTTATATCCCGTACGTTCTTAAATGAAGCCTTTTTGAAATTATTCTCACTACTTCCATAGTTGAAACAAGTCACAGGATGAATTTTTTTTAGCCATAAAGCTCCCTGTCCCTCTGCCCTTTTTTTTTTTGTTTGGTTTTCCCTTAAATGAAAGTTCCATGAACCTGTTTTTCAGGAAGATGCTGGATCTTGCCCAACATTTTTTTCACATCTTATGATTCCAAGCTTTAACCATTCTTGATACACTTCTGAAATGTTTGATAAACTCATGTTTGTTCTTGTAAGGAAATCGCAGCTTCGTTTCATGTAGGAGAGGTGGTGATGCCATGGTTAGTTGATTGCTCTTTCATAAAACCTTTATGCTGGCCTCAGTTCTGATATAATGAAGACCCTGTAGAGCTCATTCTCCGTGCCAGCCCCACTATGAGTGGCAATTATTACAAGGTGTACGTATTAGAGTTAATTCTAGTGTCATTCAGTATGGTTTCTACTTTTCAAAAATTGGAAAACTTAAAGTTTTCATTGCAAAATTTGTTTTCTAATTATGCTAAATGTCAATTTCTTCCTTCCAGAATACTTTATCAAATGAAAACTATTAGCTTTCATTAATTTTATCTGTAAGACTGTATTCCACAGTTTTGAGTAATGAATTGTGAAATGCTACCTAAAAACTACTAAGAGTATTTTGAAACTGAAGACAGACATGAATGACAGTTTTGAGACTAATAAAGTCTTAATTACTTTAAGGCACTTGTCTCAAGTCTTTATGTGCACAGACTTCAGACATGATAGGGTAGGGCTGACTTCAGGTTTAAATTCAGCAGTTTTTGTCAGCGGTTGAATTACAGATTGTGTCACATCAACTACTTTGTGACAGAAGTGCTTAATGCACTGCCAGACCTGTCGTGGGTCTGCCACACTGATCTCACGTGCAGAAGAGCTTTAAGGTTCAAACGGATCATCTATGGAGCAGAACAACCTAATAAGGCTTTATGGCATTACAGTATAGGTGTGACTCGGTGTTGATGGGAATGCTGGCAATCTTTATTTATTCTTTATTAAGTTGCTGTGCTGTGGCTTGAAATCAAGACGTTTTTCATTCTGCTACGAACTGAAATGCTTTTTCAGAAATAAAGAATGCCTTTGAGCACAAACATCATCCATTTCTGTCTAATTTGCATAGTTAATTTTTAGTCTCCAGCTACATATTCCCTCTTCTAAGAATACTCATCTGCACCTTTTATTTCATGCCCTTTCTTTTCAACAGAGAAGTTTTTCTACCTCTGTGTTCTATTCTTCATTTAAAAATAACTGCAGTTTTCTGTTGCAAGCTTACAAGCAGTTTTCTTGCCCAGCTTTCAACTTTTGATCTCAGGCCTCAGTTGGATTTACAAAAATGCTCAAGAAAAGCAGGCTTTTTTTTTTTTTTTTTTACTGTAAATATGTTTCAAATCTTCATTGTATTTTTTTCTTTTTAACCTTAAAAGCAGAAAAATAATGAGAATAAAAGTCTGAATTTGATATTCCGAATAGTTAAGTACTACTTCTAATGCTAAGGAACAGAACAAACATACTGATGTGAGTCAAATCCACAGCAAAAAAAGCAATAAAAGCCATTGTTAAAGCTCAAGAACCCCTTTTATTTGAGTGCATTTTCTTGTTTTTTGGGTTTTTTTTGGTTTTGTTTTGTTTTTTGCTTTTTTTTTTTTTTTTTTTTTTTTAGACCCAACTGAAGCATGCAGATCAAAAGTTGAAGAGCTTTGTTGTAGTCTGTACTACAGCCTGTGACAAGCTGTTCTAAACAAGCTTTTCAGTTTCTGCTTTGGGCATATGTTTGATCTTGGCAGAGAGAACTACTTCTGTTCTTAAAGTGCTGTTATTATCCGTGTTAAAATGGTGTAAATCCAATGCACTGCCAAAGAAGAAAATTTAAGTTAAAACTGTAGTAGAGGAATGTGGTATTACCAGTTCTTCTGGCTTCAAAACTCTTACAGGGAAAAAAAAGAAAAAGAAAAAAAAAAAACCAAGCCCAATGAAAAATGTCAGAAATGGGCTTTTCACTTTTTTTTCCCTTACCAGGTTTTGTTACCTCTGCTCTTGAAAGAGAGTGTGTTTCTGTTTTTGATGCTTTTAGTTGAAAGAAAATGATTTCTTCATGGTAGTTCAGATCTAGATAGCACTCCTATCTGTCCACTCGCAAGTACTTACCTGGAGAATTGCTCCTTCTTTAGTGAAACGTGTATGTGGAATGAATCCACGTGTATGTGGAATGCATTTGGGGTTTGGATTCTTTTTTTTTTTTTTTTTTTTTTTTTTTTTTTTTTTTTTGGAAAGATTTTACTGCTTACAGAATACTTAGTTAAAATGGACTGAAGCATCATTCAAGCTGAGCTCATAAAGGATTCTTACTTTATTCTTCAGTCTTTCTCAGGGAGAAAAATATATTGTTCTTGCTCTTCAAGCATTTGGATAAAACAGAAAGGCTTGGTTTGTTCTTCCCAATGATTGTGATGTAAATTGAATCTGTATACAGCAACACTTGGAACTTTGCTGAACTAAATTAGGGCCTCTTCTGTAACAATATCTGACCTTCAGTGTGGC